TACCAATCAAGGACAATTCTCTTTAAAAAGAGTTCAAAAACTTACTGCAGCAACTCGAAAGGAACTTTTAGCGCTGCTTGATTTGGCTTTAATCTTGAGTATGATATTTAAAAGGGGATTTTGCTTATTTTACTGAAGTTAATTTGTAAAGTTGGTACAGGTGGTTTTTGACTTACAACCGTTTGTTTAGCGGCCTTTTGAAGTTACAACGGCACTGAAAAAGAAACTTACAACAAGGTCTCACACTTACCACTATTGCAACCGGGTCATATGATCAAAATTTCGTGGAGTGGAGTGGAGTGGAGTGGAGTGGAATGGAGTGGAATAGAATAGAATAGAATAGAATAGAATAGAATAGAATAGAATAGAATAACAGAGTTGGAAGGGACCTTGGAGATCTTCTAGTCCAGTGATGGTTAACCTTTTTGGTGCCGAGTGCCCAAAGCGCGCATATGCATGAATGCACACGCATGTGCCCGGAACCCCAAAATGGAATGCGAGACCCCTGCGCATGCGCCCCTCCCCCACACATGCACAAGTGTCCCCGTGAATGTGTGTGTGTTCCCCATGCATGCGCCCCAGGCCCCCTCTGGCCCCCGCGCCCTGTTTTGGCTTCCAGGTTGGTGCAGTAGGCCTTCCACGTGCGCAAACTCCCAAAATGCAATGCAAGTGCCCCCCGTGCATGCTCCCTCCTTGCATATGGACACGCATCCCCCGCATGTGCCCTGCCCCCCGCGCATGAGTAGAAGAGACCCAAAGACCAGCTGGTCAGCGGGAGGCGTGCATGCTTGCGCGGTGGAACTGGGCTAGGGCTGGCATGCCAGGCGACATGGCTCTGCGTGCCACTTTGGGCACGCGTGCCATAGGTTTGCCATCACGATTCTAGTCCAGCCCTCTGCTCAGGCAGGAAGCCCTATACCATTTCAGACAAACGGTTGTCCAATCTCTTCTTAAAAACTTCCAGTGTTGGAGGATTCACAACCTCTGGAGGCAAGTTGTTCCACTGATTTTACTAACTGTCAGGAAATTTCTCCTTAGTTCTAAATTGCTTCTCTCCTTGATTAGTTTCCATCTATTGCTTCTTGTCCTGCTTTCAGGTGCTTTGGAGAATAGCTTGACTCTTTCTTCTTTGTGGCAACCCCTGAGATATCGGAACCCTGGATCTAACATCCTTTCAGTAATGAGGTCTATGTCACGTCCACATAATTGTTGATGTTGACCTCTCACTCGGTAGCGCCTTTGCAATGTTCTCTGAGCCTCTTCACTACCCCTCTCTAGGGCTGAGAAGAACCGAGAAAGAGAACAGAAACTCTACTCTGCCGCCCACTGAGGGAGCAAAAAAAACCAAGGCAACAACTAGCATACAACTTCTCCTCTGTCCTTGCTGACACCTTCCTGTGTTGTTTTTGCAGGACCATGCAGAGGCCCATTCCTAAAGTCTCTGAAAGCGTGGGGGAAATGGTGGAAACATGCTACCGACCCATAACTTCAGGACAATGGATTGTGGAAATCATAGGAAGAAGTAGGAACTTTTACCAATACACATAGTCCTCGACTTACAACAGTTCGTTCAGAGATTGTTCATGGTTACAACAGCACTGAGAAAACTAATTTAGGACCATTTTTCATACTTATGACTGTTGCAGTATCCCCGTGGTCACATGATCAAAACTGACTCACATTTATGATGGCTGCAATGTCCCAGGTTGCAATGGCTGACCAGCAAACTCAAAAGGGAAGCCAGATTCATTTAACAACCATGTTACTAACTTAACAACTGCAATGATTCACTTAACAACAAAAAAGATTGTAAAATGGGGGCAAAACTCACTTAACGAATGTCTCGCTTAGCAAAACAGAAATTTGGGGCTCTATCGTGGTCGTAAGTCGAGGGCTACCTGTACAAAAGACCTACCCCACCGCTCCACAGGAATTGCTGCCAAACTATTTCTAGGGTGTTTCCTTAAGAGCGTTAGCCGAACTGGAAGTTAACCAGCTCACTTCATGAAGAGAAGGGGGGAAATCCTATAGCGTCACATGATCTGGGAACATGGTACAAAATTCAGATTGGTAATGGTCTTGTTTACAAAGGGGCCCTAGAAACAAAGCCTCATTGCAGAAGCACCTTAGCAACGGATGTAAATTGCATTGGGTACTCAAAAGTGTTTAGGAACAACACTGCATGCAGCACTGAGCGTGCATTCATAATTAGGATCTTACTTTATTTTGACTTGGCTTGGAACCCAAAATTGCCAACCACAAGGTCCAAATGCAAAGACAGTCCTGACAGCAGAAGCCTGAAAGCACTGCGGATTTGAAGAGAAGCTCACAACCAACTGAGTGAATAAGCTGTGACAGATCTATTATCGTAGATCGTTCCTAGTTTTCCGTCTAATATTTGGGACAGGTGATCCGTGGCTACTGTGCATGCCCTCCACATTCCAGGCATGTATTTCATTTGTGTATCTGGCAAGGGCATTCATTGTAGGGGTTGAGAGGAAGGGAAGTGGGCTAAATAAATGTTCTTTATTCTGTTGTAGACAAATCCTTGCTCTCCCACACATTTCTTAGGGAATGAGTCACAAATATTTCTGCCTTAGTCTCTACCTCAGACTGATGGAACGAGGAGCACATCAAGTCTGAGCAAAGCTAACACAAGGGAGATGGCGAGACACATTTCTTAACTGTGAAAAAGTTGGGAAATGTAACACATTTGTCTGTGAAATGGGAGAATCTTCCGCCTGGAGTTCTGAAAGAAAGTCATACTTTTCTGCGGCAGGCTAGAAACCAATCTAGTGCTGTAGAATACAATAACAGAGTTGGAAGGGACCTTGGAGGTCTTCTAGTCCAACCCCCTGCTTAGGCAGGAAACCCTACACCACTTCAGACAAATGGTTATCCAACCTCTTCTTAAAACTTCCAGTGTTGGAGCATTCACATCTTCTGGAGGCAGGTTGTTCCACTGATTGATTGTTCTAATTGTCAGGAAATTTCTCCTTAGTTCTAAGTTGCTTCTCTCCTTGATTAGTTTCCATCCATTGCTTCTTGTTCTGCCTTCAGGTGCTTTGGAGAATAGCTTGACTCCCTTTTCTTTGTGGCAGCCACTGAGATATTGGAACATCAGATATGGGACATGATGGAGATTGAGGATGGACCTGAACTGGCATCTCTCATTCCTAGTCCAATCACATTATGGCTCCCGTTTTTCTTCTTTCTCTTTACTGCCCAAAGCAAACCATTTGCATATCTCTCATAGGCAAATAATATATATCTTCAATTAAAGACTGGATAGCAAGAAGCAATGAACTTATTACATTATAGAGACTGTGCATAATAGAAAAAGGCTGGTTCCTTCTGCTTCTCTTCTGCTACTCTTCATTCTACAAGCAAGATCTGAAATCAGTTTTAAATATTAGGAATGCAAATCGGACTTGCTTGAAGCCACTCATTATTCAATAATGATATTGTATTCTATAATGACCTATACCAGTGATGGCTAACCTTTTCCAGACTGAGTCCGGAAAAAGCATGCACACATGCCCGAACCCCCAAAATGCAATGCGTGTGCGGCTCGCTGCCCGCGCCCCCCCGCACACGCTCGTGCATGCCCATGTGCACCCCCGTGCATGCACGTGCGCCCCCGTACACACCCCGCCCCCCCATTTACGGCAGAGAACCGAAGACCACCTGGTTGGCGGGAGGTGCACGTGCATGCGTGGTGGAGCTGAACTGGAGCAACGGCTTGTGTACCAACAAAGAGGGCACTGCGTGTCACCTCTGGCACTCGTGCCATAGGTTCACCATCACGGACCTATACAGATGCCGCTCATGATTCTTATCTGATGACTATAGAGAAATCTACCTTACATTAAATTAAGCCATTGATGCATCAATGAAATTCCAAATATCCATTAATGTTTTTCTTTGGATTCATAAAAGGGTCACCTACCTGGCTATACTGGGAACTGAAACAAGAATTTGCTAACATTTGTGTGTTATGCGGTGAAGTGAAGGTTTTCAGAATTGGCTTCAGCTGGAGTTGGAAATATTGGGATGATCAGCTACGGAAAGTGAGTGATGTGCAGGACTTTTGATTGGCTTAAATCCACTTTCTTTTGAGTGGGGAATCATCTTTCTTTAGGATAAATATCTAAGTAGCTTTTTTCGAAGAGCTTTATTATATATATAAAGGTACTAGCTGGATACCCATGCTCCGCTATGAAACTATTTGATTGGGCTTGATAAATCGACACTTACAGCTTGAAAATTAATGAGTAGTTACGATCAGCCTCTCCTCTCCCCTTGTCTCCCTCAGGTTTGCTCCACAGAGACCTCTCTTATCTTATCCCCTTCTCTCCCTCAGGCTTGTCCCACAGAGGCCTCTCCTCTCCCCCTTCTCTCGCTCAGGTTGGCCCCACAGAGACCTCTCCTATCTTATCCCCTTCTCTCTCTCAGGCTGGCCCCAATGATCCTCTCCTATCCCCTTCTCTCCCTCAGAATAAATACATAATAAATAAAATAAATAAAACATTTCCTTCTCTCCCTCAGGCTTGCCCCACAGAGGCCTCTCCTATCTTATCCCCTTTTCTCCCTTTCAGGTGGGGAGTAGAATGACTATACTCCCACTCCGTAGGCTGGATGAGTCATGCGCTGGCCACGCCCACGCCCAAGTGGCAGTTGGAACAGAGTTCATTTCATGTGGGGAGGGGGAGTGGAATATCTTAACTCCTTAGCATCAGAACATGTAAATATAATACTGTATATGAAATACTAATGATCTGATGGTCATTTTGAAAAATCCTTTCTTAGCGAGCACCTAGAAGCCAAGAAGAATATACATGCCAAAGTTCAAGTTTGTAGGCTTTACGGTTCTGGAGATTTCATGATGATGTGTGAGTGGTATTTCACTTTTATATATATAGATTAAATTAGGAACCATACCGGTAGATCGGGAGAGGAACTGTTAAGATGTTCACTTTGCGTCTTTTTTTTTTTTTTACCTTGATCTTTGTCCTGCTTTTTGACCTGACGAAGAGGTGTCATCTATTCTTAAGGAAGAACCACTGGATTCATCTTTCAGAGCTTCATACCTCCTCACTGGCACTTGAAGAAGAAACAAGAAAATTCATGATTTAAGGCTGGATGAGGATATTTTATTGGCACATAAAATATTCACTGATGTAAAAGGTTCTTTTGAAGGGACCGCACACATCATTATGTCCACAGTGGCAAGATCAAAAAAATCTTCCTCTCACCAATGTTTCTTAGAAATATTTCATCTTTTCCCACAGAAACGGAAACTTCATTAACCAAGAAACATTGAAATATGGGCTAACTGCACTTCCGGATGGGACACTGTTTATCTCAAGAAACAAACAAACAAACAAACAAATACTCTAGGCAAAGAGTAATAAGGAAACAGAGTTATATCTTTTGGTAGATCTTAAGGATCTCTGCAGCAGATTTACAAGAATTTTGTCCAATAATAGTTTGTAGTACCCAGTAGAGATTGGTAACGTGGCACTCATGTCCATCAAAATACCCATGGATACCTTTTTTCGGCACCAGTAACTTTTGTGTTTTTGTAATTTTTATTTTATTAAGTTTCTTTTAATTAAAGGGGAAGATAGGGAAATGGTCATGCTTCAAAAAGCTAGCTTCCAGAATCATATTACTTTTCAACCAATATTGTGAGGATCCATACTATAGAATGTGTAGATATTCTTAGAAAAGAAAATAGTGGCACCCAACATTTCATTTGAAATTATGTCTTATCTATTCAAAATAGATAAGTTTCTTTCTCCCACATATTTCTTTCTCTAATACAATGATTCTTCTCAGTATGCTGGCTGGGAATTCTGAGAGTTGGAGGCCACACAACCTTAAAGTTGCTAAGATTAAGACACAGTGCTCTAATAGACAAGAATTTTGTAACTGGTAATGCTCATGATTCTACCTGTAGCCTCAGTAATCCATGATCTAACCCTCAGGGTCAGAACAGCAATGCACTCTGCAGGATGTAGCCCTTGAAAATGATTCACAAAGAACAATGTGGGCAGAACACAATTGGTCTTCTGTGAAGTGAGGTGGCTAAATGACTAAAAGCACTGGATTGTCTGCTTGCAAGCTACCAGGTGAAAATTAAAGCAGCCACATTTGTCTGTATCAGGGGTGTCAAACTGGCGGCCCACGGGCTGGATGTGTCACGCGCTGGCCACGCCCACCCCGGTTTAGCGAAGGGGGAGAAAGTCGCGATATGTGATGTGATGACAACGTGTCGTCACAAGTTTTACACCCCTGCTCTATATAATGCTAGAGCTTTAGGAGATAAAACATCAGTAGATTCAGGTAAGATCACCTGGGAAAGCCTTTTCAATGCCAGTACATCAGGGGAAAGTTGCCCAGCAACTTCATTTTCATCTTTGCCCGGACCTTTATAGGATACCAGTCAATTTAAGGACCAGATTATATTTTAGATTTCCTGCTGACATATTTTTTAAATTACATAGTTGTAATTTTTTTTGGTACTATTGTTGATTTTATCATGACAATATAATGTAGCCCTTCTTGTTCTCCTTTCTTGTAAATTGCTCTAACCTTGTCCAGAAGAAATGGCAGTATAAAAATAAGATAATAACAATGAAGCCTCACGTTTGCGTTATCATTCAATCTACTGCCAACCTCAAGACTCCCAAAAATATTAAGCATGGCTTGAGAAAGACGAAAGAACCATTTTAATTTTCTTTCTCTGCCTGAGTACTATCTATATACATCCATTTTTAAGCAGCAACCATGGAAAACCACCTTTAGAGATGGAAAAATATATATACTGTCAGTATCATAAATGACAATGGAGCATCATTTCAAGTACAGATAGAGTCCACCAACTGAAGGCCAATTACCACATAATTCTTACCTTGTCTAAAATCTGTCTCGGAAGAAATGAATGATTGGCCCTCACTGTCAGTGCTGCATACATCACTATGGTAAGATTTATATTTTCGTACGTGCTCTGAAAGAATTGTAAAGAAACAGAAGAGAACAAAGCTTATCCAGGGTTTAATGCAGTCACTCACTTCTTCCACAATAGGTGTGCATAATTTTTTTTCTGGTAGGTCAGAGGGTTGCATTGTACATCCCATTATTAGTGGTGCTGAAAACTGTTTCTGGACTCCATGGGTTATAATACACTGTCCAAAATGAGTGACCTTTTCATAAACGATGTTTGCATTTCACTAGGTATGTTTTGGATGAAAGATTATCTAGTTAAACGAAAAGGAAACTAGGAAGGAACAGTGGCCCAAATTGGTGCCCCTAATATTGTTTGCGAATGCAAATCATGATTTCAGTCACGTGCTAAAGTATTGAGTGTCTCTGATGGAAGTTTTGATATTATTTTTTCTGTAAAAGAATAATTTGTGATATAGGCTGGCTACCTATAAAATTAATCAATTTTCGGAAGCCTTAGAAACTGACAATGCATTTTCAAACTTGTTTAGAACTAGAATTCTAATGAATTCTTTCTAGAGTTCAGAGGCACTTAGAAATAACTAAGTAATGGAAAGATCCTTTGCAAAAACATTTATCCCTTCCCTCACTTTCTTTTTATAGTAATTTTATTTAAAATTACAATTGAAATAATTAAAAATAAATATAAACTGAAAAGGAAGAAAAAGAAAAATATAGGATGTGCAAAAAATAGAAAAAACACAGTAAAGAAAAATAAATAATTTTTTGCCTTCACAAGTAGAAACAATTTTAGTGAGTTATAAATTTCTCTTAAAATACAGCAATGATTTAGTCTTCCCATATTCCATCTCTTAAAACAAACTCTTAAAATCTTATCATTTCAGTCCTGATATCAGCAAAAGTACATTAAGGGATAATGTACATTATCTCTGTACATTAAAAGTACAGAGATAACAAAGTATATATTTGAAATAAACCAACTTTATATTCCTTTTACTTCTAACAATTTTGATTTTTACTCCCTTCAAATAATGTCCTAGAACTTCTTTTCAATTTTTCTGTTGTTTCTTCACACAAAATTCCTCAAAGTTCAAGCCTGTGTTGTAAATCATATACGAAGTATGAATATGAAAATTATCCAGGTTACTCTCTTGGTTTGTCATATATATATTAATTATTAAGACTTTACCCAGTTTATTTTGTATGTTGCTCTTCTAGCCAGTCATTTTAAAATCCATTTTCAATCTTGTCAGGTAATACTTATCCTTATTCTATAACATCTTTTAAACACAGTCTAGCTAGAAAGGTAGGCTCTTTAAAATTAACTTCTGGGTCCACTGTTCAAAAATATCCTTCAATATGTCCACATTTAAGTGTTCTTTAATTATGGCCTTTAGTTTACTTCGGCTTCTCTTCAGTGTCCAATTTTTAAAATCTTATCTTATTATGTTACTTTTAAGAATTCAAAACAAAAGCATTTTCCCACGGAAGGGATTCTTGTAATTAATTGAAAAATCCCATTTCAAATCCATGTGGATCCTCAGTCTACAATCCAGATTTAATAAATGGGAAGAATGGTCCCTTTTGGCTGTAATTTGGATATATTTCCCTTATAGCTAAGATAAATAGAACTACTAGTTTAATGAAGCTTTAAAACATTTGAGGTTTTTTTTTTTACATTCTGGAAGAAGAAAAATGTGTTCATAAAAATACTAATGGTGTTATTTTAAAATGTTATAAAGTTATTTAAAATATTATAAAAATCTATTCTAATGATAAATGTCATATTATAATGGGGCCAAAATCAGATAAAATTTCTGAGGCGTGGAACTATCAGAGGTTGACCGAGAAAACAATGTCCTTCTCTTCTCTTAACCCAAATCCTTCCCACACAACTGAAGCAACAGCTCCCAATCTTGCCAGCTTGTTCAGTAAGCCATATACTACATTCCAAGTCTAAAGTTTTACAGCTGCCCAAACCACATTAAATCAGATCTAATAACCACTGGATTTAATGAGAAAAATGTTGCTTGGTAAGCAATATATAGTGTCAAGTATGCTCATGCAAAAAAAAAAAACCAAAAAAAAAACAAACCACAAACATGTTGTGAAACCGAGAATTTCTCTTCTAAAATAAAACAGAATTAAAACATTTAAATTATTGGTGAAGATGAGGGGATGGTTAGACTAGCTAAAGAAGTAATAGTTGTTTTTTATTCCCTGCTGTAAAGGAGTGATTATTATAATATTATGAGTTTAACCATGCATTATTTTTATATAGAAAGACAGCAATTACAAATGTAATTGGGCATTGTGAAGCTGACATGAAAGATTGGGAAGAGGTAATTAGCACAGTAATAACAACTTCAGTATCCTGGTTAGCTAAATCCTGGATCTAACATACCATGTTTCCCAAATTATTGTCATGATACAAAGAAGATGGTGATGTTACAGCATTGACTTAACTCTGGGAACATCAAGCTCTATCTATGGCCCCTGAACAAGGATAGACAATGGAAACAAGCAACACTCATTAAGTTTTATTTAAGTATTCATTTAACAGAACATGGGATGGTCAACCTGAGAGGCATGGGGTTGCAGATAAGCATAGAATTATGGGGAAAAGCCACTGAAGACATTGAGTTAATCAGTGAAAACATGATTAACTTAAATTCATAATTCTGAATCTCTCTGGGCTGATTTTAGATTCTGAGTATAAAGATATCTGTACCCTGATGACACACTGTTTAATTGAAGATGGAATTATTATATTGAAAAATAAAAAAATTAATAATAAAAAAAAGAAATTGTTGCTGTAACTGTTAAATAAAGTTTAGGTAATTGTAAAACTAATTGCACTTTTAATATCAGATGTCAGAATGACAGGAAATTTCACTATTGGGAATTATTATATGGTAATTCTCACATAGCAATAGCACTTAGACTTATATACCGCTTCACAGTGCTGTACAGCCCTCTCTAAGCGGTTTAGAGAGTCAGCCTATTACCCCCAACACTAGGTCCTCATTTTACTCACCTCAGAAGGATGGAAGGCTGAGTCAACCTTGAGCCTGGTGAGATTTGAACTGCCAAATTGCAGGCAGCCAGCAGGCAGCAGAAGTAGCCTGCAGTACTGCACTCTAACCACTGTGCCACCGTGGCTCATGGTAAAAAGTAAATAGCCTAATGCCAAATCTGTCTCTTAACAAAAAGGGAGGTGGCTGGAAACTAGGCCTCCTACTCCAAAAAGAACATTTTTAGGCTTTTCTGTTCTTTGGGCACAAGAATTTTGAGTATTAATTTTATTATAAACAGAGCTTGTATTTGATACACAGTACTTGCGTTTCTGACAGTTTCACATATATTCTAGAATATACCTACTTATTTGAGCTTTTGTGTTCTTGGAAAACTATTCTTCATTTCTTTGTCGAATTAGCATATTTAACTTAAGATTTCTGCAACATCTAATTCAGGGATGTGGGAATATGGAAATCCCACCACCCCAAATCATAGGTCTTCCTACTTTATCTAACAGGAACTGCAATCTGGAAACCTCTGCAAGATCATATTTAGCTAATTGACAAAGCTGAAAGATTCAAGGAACCGTGGAGAAAAAAGGTTGTATCATAAATTCCAATGCAAACAAAATGTGGAAACCCATTGGATTCACATACTTTATAAACTGATTTTATTTTTTTCATAGATACCTTCCTAACCTACCTATCTACCTACCATAGATACCTACCTACCTAAGTCGGTACAGTGGCTCAGGAGTTAAAGACACTGAACTTCTCAACTGGAAAGCTAACAGCCTGGGTTCGAGACCTTAGTGCTGTATAATGGGGTGAGCTTCCACTACTTGCCTCAGTTCCTGCCCATCTAGTTCAAAAGCATGCAAATGTAACTAGGTAAATAGGTACAACTTTGGTGGGAGCATCATAAACTTTGGTGGGAAGGTCATGCTGGCTACATGACCATGGTAATGTCTTTGGACAACGCTGCCTCCCTTGGCTAAGAAACGGAGATAACCATCAACCCGGAAACAACTGGATAGGGGAAACCTTTACTAGTTCAATACCAAATTTGCAAAATAGGAAATGTCTCTCACGCACAAACATATATTATTTTGACAATGTGAAGGATGTCACGTGTCAAATATAATATGCAGAAAAATCTACTGACCTTCTACGTTCATGGCTTCTCTCAGCAACTGCAATTTCTTCTGCTTCTCTTTGATCCTGTCAAAGGCACATAATAAGGCTGCCGATGTTGAGGTCTCTGATACATGAAGCACTTGGTCAAGTTTTTGAGGGCCAAATATATCAAGGGCTATGCTCCCATCAGAATATCTGCCTTCTTTGTTTATGGGAGCTCCTGAAGTCCGCCCTGGCATGGTTCCGTCTTGACGATGGTGCTTAAGAGAATGTGCGACATAGTCCCCCTCTGTGACTTTGTGAGTTGCGCACAACAAATCAGAGGAAGAAGCCCATACTTTGCGTTTGGGATCACTGTTGGCTTTCTTTTCCAGGTTGGAAGCTCTGAATTGATAAGGACAGCAACTACCTGTACTGTCTTCATGGCCAGAATTGTAATCAGAGGCAATATTTTGAGAAAATTCCTTTTCACCACGTGAGTCCCTGGTTGACAAGAACTCCAATGATTTACTAAGTCCTTTGTTAAGCACGATTTGTTGAGAATATGGGGCCGGGTAATCAACTGCTGCATCAGTCATTCTTCCTGGAATGAGAATGAGAAGAATCTCTCTTGGATATGGTTATAGTTGAACCCTTCCTAATTGTCATGTATTCTAGAATTGGATTGGATGTACACTCCTCTTAAAGGTAGGGTTTTTAAAAAATTAGGTTAGGTTCTAACCAGCTGAATATCAAAACAATGAAAATAAACAATCAAAAGAAATTACATTTCTTCTGTTCAACTGTAGCATCTAAAATAATATTCTCTTTAACTATGACATTTTTATCACGTTTTTATCATGAAGAACACAGGTTTTTTAAAAAATGCTAAATCAATCCTCCCTCCCTCCGTCCTTCCCTCCTTCCTTCCTTCCTGACAACTACCTGTCGACCAACTCAACTTTCTTTGCTTTGCTTCTTGATCTTTTCAAATGTCAACATTAAAGTATTAAAGTTCTCCACAAAGTACTTAAATGGACCAGCTCACAACATTTGGATTTATTCAAGCAGTACCTGGCACTCCTCATTCTGATGGCTTCTTCATAATAATAAGTGTTTCAGAGAAATAGAAACTGCTAATTTTCATATGGCACCAAATAGGAAAGAGTCAAAGGATACATTAGAAGGACAAAATTCAATTTTGCCCAAGAGATAAATATAGCTTTATTGACAAAGTGTCAACCGAGAAACCCATCAACAGCTGAGGCTGTTATCTAATACTTAATAAATTACATTACATGTTAGCAACAACCAATGATTTAAAAAAACTCATTAATTTGACTAGTCACAATGAAGTTAATGGACGTTATCAAGTTTTTCTCTGCTAATGTTTCAGCATTTTTCATTTTCAGCTCATGAAATTGTTTATATTGATTATATTTTAATTTTCTTCAGAAAAAATATGCCGGCTAGGGAATATTGGAAGTTGAACTCCACATTTCTTAAGAAATTGCAAGTTTGAGAAATTGATTTAGGACATGCCATTTTAATTTACCTTAAAAGCTCATTACATTATTATTCAAGATAGATAGATAGATAGCTAGATAGCTAGATAGATAGATAGATAGATGGATGGATGGATGGATGGATGGATGGATGGATGGATGGATGGATAGATAGATAGATAGATAGATAGACAGACAGACAGACAGACAGACAGACAGACAGACAGACAGACAGACAAATAGATGATAGATAGATCCAAAGGAAGATGCTAGTAAAAATTCAAGAAAACAGCAAAAGCTATATTCTTAATAAATTGGTTTTGCCACATTAAAAATGAACACAACAGCTGTTTTAGGCAAATAATAATAATAATAATAATGGATTTCCATGAAGCTACACCAAAGATGAATTCATTACATTTCTATACCACTCATCTCACCCAAGTGGCTCCAGGTGGTTTACAAAGGAGTAAGAATGGAGTAGCAACGACATATATTGCAAAAGAGTAGAATTGAAAAAGCCCTAGAATTTTCTACCTACTTTCCATGTTCATTCTTTCTTCCTATTCATTAATTGTCCCCCTAGAGTCGGACATGGGTGGGTGGGCAGGGGAATCCTTTGCCTTTTTAACTTTGAAAAGGATTATCTCGTCTTTCCCACATGCCTTTTTATCTTAATAAAATATATCAGAAAAATATCTCATCTATTTTGTTCCCAAGTTATCTCCCTGAAAAACAATAAACATGCTTTATAGCCAATTCTTCACAACTCATGGCCCCTACTTTCCTTTATGTTAAGATTATTACTGTATTATCACACCATTTATTAGGATGCTGGTTATAACATAAGGAGGAGCTCTGCTATTTTAATGGGATTGATTTGGGAGGTGGAAGATTAAATATCAGCCATATTTCCACTCCATTCATGTTTCCTTCTTTTGTAAAAAACCTTTACCTATGGGAAGTCGTTTTCCTCTCAGCCTCTCTCGAATGGCCTGGCTCCTGTCTGTGTGAAGTTTTTTCTCTCCTGTGCAAGAAAGCTGGTCTACCTATTGCAACAAAAAAGGAAAAACATGAAGAGCTGAAAAAGCCAGACTAGTATAAACTCAATAGACCAGGGATGTCAAACTCGATTTCATTGAGGGCCGCATCAGGGTTGCGTTTGACCCCGGGGAGGGGTGTGTGGCCAGGGTGGGCGTGGCCAGCTCGATGTCACTTGTGTCGGGGGCACCTGTGGTGGCCTGAGTGCTCTGCCAGTGAAAACAGAGCTCGGCCCAAGCTCCATTTTCACTAGCAGAGGGCTGCAGGAGGCCGTTGCAGCCGAAATCGGAGCTCGGGAGGGCCGCACTCCGTTTTCACTGGCAGAGGCACCGCCGTTTTTACTGGCACAGTCAGTCCTTCGCTGTTTCCAGGGCAACCCTGCAGGCCAAATCTAAGCACCCGTAGGCCGGATGCAACCCACGGGCCTTGAGTTTGACACCCCTAAGAGGGCAATAGACAAACCCTCTTCCATCCACTGAAAGTAGAAACTTAAACGGTTAAAACTCAGGTAGCCTAATAAAGCTGTCCTTCATTATCCACATATCCATAGATATATGATTAGTGTACTGCCTTAGCCATGGAATCATGGCTTATGCAACAGTAGAATTTTTCCTGACCTAGGTTTGCTTCAACCATAGTGAGCTGGTTTGTAGCTTAGCATAATAAGTGAATTTAGCCACAGTCTGCCTTCCTATTGCACTCCTTCATAAATTATATCCCAAAAGTGTTTTTTCAAAAGGCAACTGGACTTTGTTTTTCCTTGAAGATATTTTGCTACTTATCCAAGAAGAATAGCTCTTCTTCTGACTGAAGTACTGAGGATAAAAGGGAGACCACCAAGTAAGCTGTCCTGAAATATTAAATATCTAAAAAAGATATTTAATATTAAAAATCTAAAAAAATGAACAAACTGGCAAAGAACAAAGGTGTTAGTTTTGGAGCTAACACCTTTTATTTATTGTTCATTTATTTAATCACTCCCTGCCTTTCTACTCTGACTTGACAAAATTTGAATTTAAAAAACAAAAACAGAATATAAAAATAAATTAAAATAGAATCTAAATTAAAATGAAGATTGAATTATCAAGCAACAAAAATTGAGATTTGCTACGGAGGAACCAAACTGAAAGGTAAGGCTGCATAGTGGAAGGACATCAACTTTTGTCAACTCTCAGGTACACTTCTGTGTACCATGTAACAAAGAATGTAACTTTCCTGTTACAAAGCCAGAGTCGTGACTGCACTTTGGAATGTGTAAGTTTCTAAATTACATTAATTTAGAAATTAAATTCAAATTAATTTAATTTTCTAATTAAACAAACAGAAAGTAATACATATAGTTATTGGATCATATTAGATGCATGTTTCCAGTGCAACAGAAAGACATTTCGTAAACCACACGTTCAGTTGACTAAAACAAACAGGTGAACTTCTGGAGAAAAGTGATTTGGAAAGGTGTAAGAAACCAATTGTCCAGAACAGCAGTGACTCACAGCCAAAACTTGTAAGAACAATCCTTATCTGAAAGGTGGGGCTCTAATCGCAGCTTCTGCCAAGTTCTTTTCCCAGATTCTCACATCTTTGCAGAACGTACGATTAAAAGGAAAAGGAAAAAAGATAATAACTACAAGATTCAAGAAGAAGAAGAAGCTGAGAGAAATTAAAGTGGTGAGAGCTACTAATGGAATGTGACAGATTCCTTAACGTAAATAAAGGGGGAACTTGGTCAGAATGTTGACGGGACTAGCTCATATTAATTGGAATTATTTGCCTTGGCTCTTGAAAGGGGGTTACAAAGTTAATTGGCAGTGTTTTCAATGTCTGTACAATAATTTAATGGCTTGCTAATTTAAGTCCTTTTGTCAAGCATCCTCAGAATGAAAGGCAAACTTTTCAATCACTTCATCCAGGAGAGAGAAGGAAATGTAAACACTTACCCCAGGCAAACTCCCCAGAACCAGTTTGACTAACTGTTTTACATATGAGAAAGAAGGCGCACAGTTGCTGTTCCGTATGTGAGCGCTGCAGGCATCGAGAACAGTCCGTACAGACACACGGGCATAAACAATATCTTCACACATGCCAAGGAGAATGCTGTTCAGATGATCTCCAAGTTTGATTGGCTGATGTTAAAAAAAAAATACATGTATGCTAAAAATCCAGTTAGTCTCTCCTTATATGATTGTTTTTCTCCCTTTCATACATTTCATCAAAACCTTCCCCAAATGTGTGCTGAGATATATTGTTTTCAACTTCCCTCATCTAGACCAATATATCTGGAAGTCATCAGACTGAGGAAGACAACACTCAATCAAATTAGTTTAAGAGAGTTTTGAAACCTCTCTCCATTCTCAACACAACTTGAAAGTTGTATTTAAAAAGAATTAACAGCTTTAAATTTGATGAGTTTCACTGAATACATTCAGTGTTACCCTAGCCTAGGTAATGAATTCCATTGTTCAACTGGATCCTAAGTTGTTTATAATTTTTAACCAAGTCTTTCTTTTGTAATTTAAGGTCATAATTCCGCATGTACACCCTATCTTGATCATCTTCATTAATAGCACATAATCAATCAATCAATTAATAAATCAATCAGTGTTGCAATGCTCACTGAAATAGCACTATTTATGTATATCACTAAGATTTTTGTTAAAAAAATTAAAACCCCAAAATTTGTCATTTATATTCTATTAAATAAGGATGGAGTAGGTGCTACTATAGCTTGGCTGCAAAAATACATCAGACTTTTAGGTGGCAGTAAAGAAATTCAGAAAGCTACTTTTGCTGTTATCTAATGTCAGATTCTGTAGCTCAGGTGGAGAGACCAATAAGCATTAAACATATCAATATACAAAATTTACTTATAGTACTAGACATCAATGCATTTAACCAGTAAAGTTGCCTTTCAAAATACTGTAACAGTCACAAAGTTGCCCATTCTTGACCTGTTGACTAGCAGAAATTTGCAGAATTTTTACACAGAAATCTTTTCTATCTTCTGTTATTTAATTCTTTTAATCTGAGATAATTAGGAAACTGAATTTGGCAATTTCCACGTGCAAAACACATACGTTGCCATTAAGCAAAATCCCAGTTCCAAATCCTTCAGTAAAACTGTTCTTGAATAATAATTCAACACATAGTATTTTTGCCTTTAGTCAAGTGTCAACTGAAAGTGTAAGTTGTCTCTACTGAAAAGTGCTTAGGTGAGAATAGGTGATGTGAAGGGTCTGTTTATGATGATTATCAGAGGTGGGCTTCACATAATTTAACAACCGGTTTGCCAGCACAGAAAATGTGAGCGTGCCTTCCGTGCAGGTGCATGACCTTCCGGGCATGTGCTTTGCTCACGCGGCTTAGAAAATGTGGCTAAATAGGACGGCATAGCGCGGGGTGGGTGGGTGGGTGTGGGGCCCACCCACAGGTCGTTACTACCAGTTCACCTGAATTGGTCCGAACCGGCTGAATCCTACCATTGATTATTTTAAGAAACAAATCTGAGGTTTACCTCAGTGGGTCTTGGCAGTTCATAAAGATCAGCAACCAATAAAACGTAACAAGGTAAAAAGTATAAAACTAAGATCTTAGCTGAATGGCTATGCCTGAGTCATCTCCTTAGTCCTAATAAAGCCAGAGTCCACTTTACAACAATTGTAAAATCAGGAGAACAATAGAATTGGTAGAACGAGACCTTTTAACCACCTGTTTAATTGCTATTCTATGTAAGACACTAACTAAAAATATCCCTAATAAACTTTTGGAATATATCCTGTAAAGAATTCACAAATTCTAGCAGTAACTGATCTTACTATTAGGAAATCAAAATATTTTCTAGCTGAATCATTTGTCCATGGAAGTTATCATTTGACAATTGGATCAATCAAGTATCTACAAACGTATGTGAATTTGAGCTTTTCTTAAGATATGCTATGCCATAATACAGAAACATTATAAAAAGAGGATCAGAAGTAAGGATGCAAACAGCCTGGACGTCTGTAGGAAACTGAGTTTACAGTGAAAAGACAACTCTCATATTCAATACATAATATTTTTTCTGGAATTACTAGCTGATCTTTGTGTTTTCTGCTGGAAAAACACAATACATATATATATATTTATATTCTTCTCATTCAAACTCTTCTGGGTGTATGTTTAACTGATATTTTTATAAGCTTGTAATATTTTAATTCATGTAAAGTATTTAAATTTAGATACTGTATTTCACTGTCAAGTTTGAAAGTAGGTGGCTGGTTACTGCCTTAATGGCACACCCTGTCATGTATTCTTTATCTAGACAGCTATTTTTCCAATCTATTTCTTCCTTGGAAGCCATATAACTTTTTAAGAAATCCTTTCCTCTTATTCTTGAATAGACCCATCCTTCTTTCCTTAACCATTTCCAGATTTGGAACCAGTTCTTTCCATTTCTATTCAAGAGTTCAAAGGTCAGAAGAAACGCTAATCATTGTTCTTTCACCTTCTCCTTTTCTTCAGTAATCTTCTAACAAATTAACAGAGTTGGAAAGGACCTTGTATATCTTCTAGCCCAACACCCCCCCTCCCACCCAAGCAGGAGACCCTACACCATTTCTGACAGATGGCAGTCCAGTCTCTTCTTGAAAGCTTCCAGTGACGAAGCTCCCACAACTTCTGAAGGCAACTTCTGTTCCATTGGTTGATTGTTCTCACTGTCAGAAAATTTCTCCTTATTTCTAGGTTGAATCTCTCCTTGACCAGTATCCATCCATTATTCCTTTTCTGGCCTTCAGGAAAGGCCTTGCTTTGGAAAATAGCTTGACCCCTTCCTCTCTATGGCAGCCCCTCAAATATTGGAACACTGCTATCATGTCTCTCCCAATCCTTCTTTTTATTAGACTAGCCATGCCCAGTCCCTGCAACCGTTCATCGTATGTTTTAGCCTCCAGTCCCCTAATCATCTTGGTTTATCTTCTTTGCACTCTTTCTAGAGTCTCAACATCTTTTTTACAGTGTGGTGACCAAAACTGGATGCTGCATTCTAGGTGTGGTCTTACTAAGGCTTTATAGAGTGGTATTAATACCTCACTTGATTTTGATTGTATCCCTCTGTTAATGCAATTTAGGGTTGCATTGGCTTTTTGAGCTGCCGCTGCACAGTTAGCTCATATTTAATTGGTTGTCCACTAAAACTCCAAGATCCCACACACAGTTACTGCTTCGCATCAAAGTGGGAAAAAAGTGGGTTGACTTAGTAAGACATTATTGGGTTATCAGTTTCTGTATCATGGACTACTTATTATCTTTTATTTATTTTATTTTATTTTATTTTGAATTTGTATACCGCCCTTCTCCCTGAGGACTCAGGGCGGTGAATAGCCAAGTAAAAACATCAAGTACAAATATTAAAATACAATTAAATATATATATATATATAAATTTGGCCCCATTAATTAAAAACGATAAACAAAACACTTAAAAACACTTAAAAAATTAGGCCAGCCCGGCTTGCTGGAAAAGGAAGGTTTTAAGGGCACGGCGGAAGGCACTGAGGTCTTGGATTCTCCTTATCTCTGGGGGCAATTGATTCCAGAGGGTAGGTGCCCCCACAGAGAAGGCCCTCCCCCTGGGGGTCACCAGCCTGCACTGTTTGGCTGATGGCACCCCGAGGAGGCCCTCTCTGTGGGAGCGCACAGGTCGATGGGAGGTCGTCGGTGGCAGCAGGCGGTCTCGAAGATAGCTAGGCCCTATGCCATGGAGCGCTTTAAAGGTGATAACCAACACCTTGAAGCACACCCAGAAGACCACCGGGAGCCAGTGCAGCTCACGCAGGAGCGGTGTTACATGGGAGCGCCATGCTGCTCCCGTCACTACCCGCGCTGCTGCGTTCTGGACCAGTTGGAGCCTCTGGGTGCTCTTCAAGGGGAGCCCCATGTATAGAGCGTTGCAGTAGTCAAGGCGAGAGGTGACGAGAATATATATTTATATCTTATTTTTCCATTACTTACCTGGCTTTCTGGAACATCATAGTCAGCTCCCCAATAAAGGGTCATTCCAAGAGAATAAATGTGGACCTGAAACACAACACAGCCAAAATGATACCAGTGGAATTCATGGTGTAGCAAACATTCTAAGAAGGAATTTATTTATGACAGGGCTGAAGTAGACCAAAAAAATGGAGTGTTTCTGAAAAGGCACCAAGACTTCTAACTACATGAGTATTGGATCATGTGAAACAGCTGCTGCACAAAAATGTTTTGTTACATAAATGTTTTCATTAAAAAAAAATATTTCTCCTTTCTGGAGCAAGAAGATTACTGATTTTAAAACCTATTATCTTTCAGTCCTAATTTAGAGAATGACCAAAAAAGCATTCTTTTGTCTGTCTAGCATTCTGCCAGAAAAATATCCAAGTACACAATTTCTTTGGTTTGGAGATGGAATCATAACCAAAAGACTCATGCAACCCTGTCATTATGTTTCTGGAGGTGATTATAAATGGGAATTGGTTTTGGTGGCTAGCATTTTTGTGGAACACGCTCAGATTTCAAGAAAAAAGCTGAAAATAAAGCAGACTTCTACTGAGAAGATTATTTGATAAACAACTGAAACACACACACACATATATGTATATACACATACATGTCTATGTATAAGGTACACACATATACATATAAGTATCTTTTTCTGCTGAAATCTATTTTTTCACTGGAACAAAACTAAATGCAAAATACAATTTGCTTGATGGTAAAGTATTAATTTTGCTATAACAAAAATTTCTGTCTTAGAATAGTGATTTTATCTTAATTTGGAAAGTGTTGGGAAAGTTTTAGAAAAAAAAATACTCTATAGTTTGCCTGAAACTTCTACTTCAGTGGAAACATATGCAAATAAATGAAAGACAAGGAATGGAAATGTACATGTAATTTGCCTAGTTAAAGGTTTAGCTGGCAAGTAATGATCAAATTATGGCTTGGCTATCATAACCTGCCTAAGATGCTAGTGGAGCAGCCACACTAAAAACACAGAACTTAATCTGCAGCATGGATGTTCCACATCCTAGCCATGACCTAAGCTTATAAAAATTATATGATGAGGACTGCTTGTTACAAAGGCCAAGCTGGCTTTACAAATACTGTCACACAAAATTACATATTTTCATGATTAGTTAATTAAATGTACTTGTATGCCGATTCCCAAATCTCAAAACAATATAAGCACATATCGTAAATAAATTATACGTAGTCCTCGATTTATGACAATTGAGCCCAAAATTTCTGTTGATAAGTGAGATATTTGTTAAATGCGTTTTGTCCCATTTTATGACCTTTCTTGCCACTGCTGTTAAGTGAAACCCTGCAGTTGTTAAGTTAATAACATGGTTGTTAAGTGAATCTGCCTTCCCCAATGATTTGTGAAAAGTGATCACATGATCGTGGGACACTGCAACCGTCATAATTATGAGTCAGTTGCCAAGCATCTGAATTTTGATCACGCGACCACAGGGATATTGCAACAGTCTAAGTGTGAAAAACGGTCATAAGAGCCTTGGCAGTGCAGCAGACTAAAGTGCTGTTAAGTAACACCAGCTGCCTGCAATTACTGAAAGTTCAAATCTCACCAGGCTCAAGGTTGACTCAGCCTTCCATCCTTTCGAGGTAGGTAAAATGAGGACCCGGTTTGTGGGGGCAATAAGCTGACTGTGTATAAAAAAGAACACCGCTTGGGGGTGGGGGTGAAAGCCCTACTAAGCAGGTATATACACAAGTATGAAGGCTATTGCTTAATGCATTGTAAGCCACCCTGAGTCTCTGAAGAAGGGCGGCATATAAATCGAACCAATAAGTAAACAATAAATAAATAAATAAGTCACTTTTTTCAATGCCATTGTAACTTCGAATGGCTACTAAATGAATTATTATGTCAAGGACTACCTGTATGAGATTGAATTCAATTTACTTTTTCATAAAAGCATGTATTAAGATAACGGAGAAAGATTTTCAACAAAAGCTACATTGATGGTATAAAAAGACAGATAAAGTATATATATTGGCAAGCTATACGAAGGTAACCTTTCTGTAATGGAGTTAGGAATGACCTTGGGAGATAGAAAGAAGGCCTGGAAAGAAGATAGAAAGAAGACCTGAAGATCTCAGGGGCTGCCCCAAAGAAGAGGGAGTCAAGCTATTCTCCAAAGCATCTGAGGGTAGAACAAGAAGCAATGGGTGGAAACTTATCAAGGAGAGAAGCAACCTAGAACTAAGGAGAAATTTCCTGACAGAACAATTAATCAGCGGAACAACTTGCCTCCAGAAGTTGTGAATGCTCCAACACTGGAAGTTTTTAAGAAGAGGTTGGATAACCATTTGTCTGAAGTGGTGTAGGGTTTCCTGCCTAAGCAGGGGGTTGGACTAGAAGACCTCCAAGGTCCCTCCCAACTCTGTTATTCTGTTACTAGACAAGGTTTTAGATAAGAGGCAGCTGAGCCCATGGAACCAACAGGAGTACGGCAAACATCTCAGAAGGGACCCTCCCTAGTAAAGGCAAGGAGGGACGAATCTGCTTTCAGATTTGCAAGATTCTCTTACTTTAACCTTACAATAAGGGTAGAGCTAGTATTCCTGGGTGTGCTTCTTATCTGGAGAACCTCACACGGCTGACACTTTATCCTGAAGCTGAAATAATGATGGGAAAAATTTTGGACATGCCCATCAGCCTACTTCCCACTGTCATATAATCCGTTAAAGGAGGTTGTGAATTATTCTTATTCAAAATACAGATCTAACTTCCTTTAGAATTGTATCACAAGTAGAATCAAAAGCTGTAATATAGAATTGTCCAGATCTCCATAAAAATGGAAATTGGATGTTTTCAGACAAATCCTGGTTACGTGTTAAGTTTCTACTGTTTAGTTTGAAATGTCTCTTTACATTACCTAAGGTAGTTTTGGGCACCTTATAGTTTCAATTTCTTTCAATTTTTTTTATTTTAGGATATATGCCCTTCAATTTCTCAGCTTATTTTTGTAATTCTGTCAAATTTGGTTGAACATGAAAAGATTTTAAAATCCCTTTAAAATCTGTTCTAAATTCTGTATGCATTTTGATGCATATTTCTCCAAATAAATACACGTAAAATGTTACTTATTTTAGGAAGCAATTATGCAAACATTTTGCCTTATATATATACAGTTATGCAAACTGTGCATTGCTTTCATAAATGAGTTCATTTTATAGACATTTTCCTAAAAAACACTTTTCAATGTTGGAAAACTATACCGCAACATTTGAAGGATGCTATATTTTGAATAACAATTTTTTAAAAATTATGCATTTATTCAAAATGAGTTATTAGATGGTCACAGTTTAAAAATTAACTAAACAAATTTCTTTTCCATGCTTAGCATGCAAGAGGGTTTTCAGAGTTTGAGAGCTTCACTCTTGTATATGATGGCTACTCCTATATAAAACAGATCTTAACAGTCACAGAAGAAGAAAAAGTAATATAAGAGGCAGGATTTTCCAGCTGTGTTTTCTGTGAGAACTTGTTGGTGTTCCATGTTGTTGTTGCTGTTTTTGACTAATGGCAAAAAAGTTAAGACATACTCAGTCCATTTTCTGTTATTGGAGCATTACTTCTTGATCAAGGGTTATAAGAAATTATTTTTTAACAAGTTTCACAGCCTGAAAACAGTTTGAAAACCCCTGGTGTAACTAACGTATATTATCGTTGTTTTCTCATTTTTCTAAATGCAGTCTAAAGAAACGTATCAAGAGTGAGAATGCTGTACCTTTTCAACATCAGAAACAGATGACAGGGACTGATTTTGGAGAGCTCCTGGTTCCATGAAGGCTTGCAGATCTTGATTAGAAACATTTTTATCCGTAAACGATACGCTGCCGGATGGAAGCAGCAGAAGAGACCAGGGAGATATGAGAAAGCCCAAAGCAGTTGGATCAGCTGTATTTGGAAAACAGAAAGATCTAATTAGAAATTCAAATAGCAGATCAAGATTCCTTTTATGTATTTATTCAACAGAGACAGTGTAAATTAAAATAAACAAGAAGAGTTTCTTATCCAAAACATAGACCAGGGGTGTCAAACTCTATTTCATTGAGGGCTGCATCAGGGTTGTGTTTGACCTGGGGGGGGGGCGAGGGGAGGCAGTGGACGTGGTCAGCTATACATCACTTGTGTCAGGGGTGACTGTGGTGGCCTGAGCCTCTGCTAGCGAAAATGGAGCTCCGTTTTTGCTTGCAGAAGATTGCAGGAGGCCGTAACAGCCAAAACCGGTGGGCCGCGTATGATCCTCCCGAGCTCCATTTTTCCTGGCAGAGGCACCACCGGCTGGTCCTTCGTATTTCCAGGGCAGCCCCATGGGCCACATCTAAGCATCCGGTGGGCCAGATCTGGCCCACGGGCATTGAGTTTGACACCCCTGACATAGACCAACGATTCACTACCAAAAATTTCAGGACTTATTCATTTTTCAACACCCATTCAACAAACCCATTTGGCTTCTTTGAATCCAAATTCTGATAATAATTTCTGATACATCAGTAACAGGCAATGAACTTGGAATCATGTCATACATCCCAGCAACATAATGGGATATGATCTATAATGTAGGATCTGGAAACTTCTGTAGATTCTTCAGCATGCTGAATTTTCAAGTTAAAACTAGATTTAATAAGTAGATCTCTGCCAGGTGTGTAGAATCAAGACCACATGTTAAGCTCCAGTTAAACTGATTTATTGCTCATGCCTAGACACAAGAATCTCATCAATTAACAGCCAGCACTAAATTGGCAATGGTTAAATCCAACCCCCTTGACAAGAGGGGTTGGATTAAAATGTATTTATTTATAAATTTATATGCTGCCCATAAATCTGTAGAGATTCTCAGTCATCCATGTCATGGTTGTCCCAAAGATGCTTTTTCAGAAGACAACTGGACTTTGTTTTTCTTTGAAGACGTTTCGCTTCTTATCCAAGAAGCTTCTTCAGCTCTGACTGGATGGTGGGGAATGCTGCCCATGTCGCTATCCAATAATTTGTTTTGATGATAAATTCTTTCCTCTTTCAGGACACGTACATCTATATGCTATCTATATTTATTTTAGTCCACACATTTGAAGAAATTGTGTTTCATTTTACCTAGAATTCTACAGAAGTCTAGTCTTTTTGCTCATTTGGACGTAAAGTGAATTAGGATGACTTCTAAAAAATCCTTAGTCTTGTACCTTTATTTATAAATCAGGTCATTGATCCAAGTCAGCTTGTTTGTTTTCAGTAAATAATAGTCATAGAATTCTTCATTAACAAGGTAGATAATATGCATTTAATACAGTAGGTTTCAACTATGTATTTAATCATCTTGGGGATTAAATTGATTAAAATTGGCTTACTAATTAAAAATAATCAAAATGGTGCTTCTGGGATGTTCTTTGTTAAAACAAAGAATTTAATCAATGGCGCGATGGCAATTATATTGGAAGAAAAAAGATACAAGAACTTCCATTCATGTTCCATGAATAATATTACTATAAAGAAAAACAAACGCTAAAATAATGCAGCCTACACTTGACCTTTCAAGACAGGCAACATTCTACCATGAAAAAGGCTATTCTTGTAATAATAAAATCTCTTTGCATAGAACTTGTCAAACTTATTACTTACGATGCATTTAAGTTTTTCTAAGGATTACCCTGTGCCTGATTGTACTAGAGCAAGGGTGTCAAACTCAATTTCATTGAGGGCTGCATCAGGGCTGTGGTTGACCTCAGGGGGCCGGGTGGGCATGGGTAGGTGTGGCCAAATGGGTGGGCGTGACCAGTTTGACGCCACTCCCCAAACTGCTGGTCTGATCTTTCCCCTTCACATTGGGTAGACCAAGACAGTCCCGCGGGCTGGATCCGACCACATCGCGGGCCAGATGCGGCCCACGGGCCTTGAGTTTGACACCCCTGTACTAGAGGAATGGTATGATCCATTGTTGAGACATGCCAAAAGTTTCTTCCTTTCATAATATTGAATCTTGGGCCGTCAAAAGGAGATAACTGATGGTAGAATCAGAACAAATGAAACTACTTTTTAACATAATACACGGTTAAAGAATGACATTTGCTGTCATAAATGAATTGGTGGCCAGCTTTAATGGTTTTAAAGTGAATGGACAAAATCAGAGATTTATCAGTTGCCTCAGAGGAATTTTATCATCCCAAGTTTTGGAAGCAATATATGTCTAAATACAAGTTTCTGGAGAAAATCACTAAGAAGTTAGTATTTCATTCAGATTCCAGCTGGGAAACTTCTTGTAAGACTTAACTCATTCATTGGGGTAACTAAACACTGAACCAGACATTTTTATTATTATTATTATTTTTTTGCTCTGATTCAGCAGAGATCTTTTCAATATCCTTGAATTTTAATCGAACAGATGTTCTGTACTGAGAAGCTCATGTTTGGCTCATAGGTTATATATGAGTTATTGACTGGCAAATGGTAATAGCCAGATGTAAACCATTTTATAGCAAGAGGAGAAAGTTCTACTTTCTGCCTCCTGAACCATGTACAAGAAACTCTATCATAGCACTGGTTGACTCTGCTATTATAGTAAGAATCATAGTGAATGCAAAGAACCTGAAACTGGAAATACTGTCTAAGTTCCATTTCTATATCATGTTGTGATGAATCTCTTTTCCCAGGCAACTACAGATAAAGGTAGCTCTTGACTTACGACCACAATTGAGCCCCAAATTTCTGTTGCTAAGCAAGACTGTTGTTAAGTGAGTTTTACCCCATTTTATGATCTTTCTTGCCACAGTTGTTAAGTGAATCCCTGCAGCTGTTAAGTTAGTAACATGGTTGTTAAGTGAATCTGGCTTCCCTTTGACTTTGCTTGTCAGAAGGTCGCAAAAGATGATCACATGACCTGGAACACTGCAACCGTCATAAATACCTGCCAGTTGCTAAATGTCCAAATTTTGATCACATGATAACGGGGATGCTGCAACGGCGATCAGTGTGAAAAATGGCTATAAGTCACTTTTTTCAGTGCTGTTGAAACTTCCGTCACTAAACAAATGGTCGTAAATCAAGGACTAGTTGTACATTGTGATCTTCTCTTAGAAAAGGTTGATCTTTCTGCATTTGCACACAAAGGCTTTCAAGTGATATCAAACCTCCACAGCTTGGCTCATAAAATCAGTTTAATCCTAGATAATAATGTATGAAGCTCTTAGGAAATATCTTTCTTAAGAATACCTACTATTATATTATTATGGGATATGGGAGGCATTTTATCAATGGCTGGAGAATAAAAAAGGAGTTTGGAAATGAAGAAGATGAAAGAGAAAGTAAAAATATATTAAGATAAAGATGTAAATAAAAAGAAAATTGTTAGTATACAGTATGTATATATATATATATATATATATATATATATATGAGAATAAGGATGCTTAATGTTATAATGTATGATTATTATAAGATATTAAGAAGAAAATGGAGAGCATTAAAATGTTTAAATGTTTAATATACTATAATATTAAGCTTAGCGAAATAATGTTATGTGAATGCGAATGAGATGGAAAAGGATGAATGATGTTGCACAGAGATGTTTATAACCAGACGACACACTGCAGATGGACAGATGGAATGTTTACTTTTGTAATTGAAAAATAAAAAACTTTAAAAAAAAAAGAATACCTACTAGGCAATTTCTAATTTCTGCCAGGAAGTAAAAACTTTATAAAGATCTCTAAGATCATGTAATTTAACTTGGAGGAGCTGTTCATTTCTCTGAGTGTTCTGCTGTTTTTATGTTCTCTTATAGCACTTAGCAATAGTACTTAGACTTATATACCGCTTCATAATGCTTTTACAGCCCTCTCTAAGCGGTTTACAGAGTCAGCATATTGCTCCCAACAATCTGGGTCCTCATTTTACCCACCTCGGAAGGATGGAAGGCTGAGTCAACCTTGGTTCTAGGTATGGTATGTCTCTGAGATGATTAATCATCCGCATCTATATATTACAAAAATTGTACAAGTACAAACTGTACTTGTAGCCCACTTGATAATAACCATGTTCCTGTATCTGAGGAAAAAGGGAATAGCACTTTTAAGATAGAACTTACTGCTGACCTTTATATTTTTTCAAAAACGTTTATAAAAATAACTTTTGTTCCACCTCTGTTGTAGGTCAGTTAATGCTTTTTAAATCAATTAATCTAAATCAGAGCACTGATGCGAGTCAATTGGCTGCCTGATGGTGATGGATTGAAAAAGGAGTATTACACAACAGGATGCTGATTTAATGGTAAAACTACATCACTTCATTTCAATTCTAGGCCCTTGGGATAATATTTTGTAAAACGAGCATCTAAGTAAATCCACAAAGTATGTTAACAGTATTCTGTTTTCCACTGTAAACATTTCTCCAAATTTGAGGATGGTTTGGACCCAAGGCTACTCAGCAAGTGTGGAGATTATTGTGAAGCAACAAAAGGAGGCCACAAAATAAACTAAACTCTTTCCGTAGCATCTGTTCTGTCCCCTCCATAAGCATATGACAAAATTGTGTTGAAAATGGCATTATAGCACTTTGACCGGACCTTGGCCACTCATCTAAAAAGAAAAGGGTATACAAAACCAGCGTCTGCAAGACATACTGGAGGAAAACATTTTAAAGGTTACGAAAAACTGCATACAGACGTGGATTTAATTTTTTAAAAATACACCTGGCAGGAACAACAAAGACAACAAAAGCTTTTGGGGATTCAGAGATCCAGCAATTGCACTGTGAGGTTTCTTCTGTTTGCCAAGCTAAAATCAGCCAAATAAACACAACCGAGCGCCAAGTTTCTTGAGAAACAACTACAAAGAATCTTAATAGGAAAAATGTGAAAGACAAGGCGGGGGAAGTAGCATGAAAACCAACTCTTTCATAATTCACTC